GGGTCGCCGCGCCGAGCCCCCCCCCCCCAGCAGACCAGGGACACGGGGAGAAAAGCCGCAGCGGCGGGGTGCCTCGCCTCTGAGGCTTTGCTCTGGCGTGGGACCCGCTTTGCTCGCGGTGCCCCTGGTCTGCTGGAGACGGTCTCCAGCAGACCAGGGGCACCGCGAGCAAATCTGCCGGGGCTGCTGCTTTGCTCCCGATGCCCCTGGTCTGCTGGAGACGGTCCCCAACAGACCAGGGGCACCAGGAGCAGCTTTTCTCGCCCCGGAGGTCGAGGTGGCAGGACCGCTGCCTGCGAGCTCCGGGGCGAGAAAAGCCCCGTTCGTAAGTGCAGATCCGACATAAGTTGGATCCGCGTAAGTCGGGGACTGCCTGTATGTAACAGTCTGCCAGCATTTTCTTGTCATATTCTCTTTTCAGGAGATTATTTCCTTTGAGGGAAATTTACTTTGAGATAAAATGTGTTATACAGGAGAAGATATGTTATTGTAACAATTTATTGCTGACACTGGATGAATAATGTTTAATAATCATGAAATATTTTTGAATACTTCCTGAAATATGTTTGTGACCGTTCTTCCCCCCGATTTCTCAAAATTGCCTTAGGAATATAAATATGCATAACTCAAAGATGCTTTAGATAAAATACCTCATGTAATCTATTAATTTAAATGTTACAGTTTGCTTGACCTATGTATACTATTTTGATGAATGTACTGTTTCATCCTTATATGTAAAGCTACAAGTATCTAGTGTGAGTCTGTTTACAGTTTAAATGTGCCAATGAGCTTAATGACTGGTGATCAACTTAATGACTTGTAAACAGCCTTGTTTGTCCTGTAAGTACAGAAGGTGGCTGGTGACATGACCATACCACCTGATGCTGGTATCCATTTTGAATCTGGTAAATTTCTGCCAAAGGGGGGATTTAAAACAGAAGATTCCCACCCTAGGGAGAGTCTATTTAAGCAATAGGAAGCTATCATGTCTTTGTCTTCAGCTGGCCTAAGAAAAGGCAAGACACACTCCAAAAGGAGACAAAGAAAGCTG